TTTTTGAGACAGAGTCTCGCTCTGTTGCCCAGGCTGGAGTGCAGTGGTGCAATCTCCACTCACTGCAACCTCCGACTCCCAGGTTCAAGCAATTCTTGTGCCTCAGCCTCCCAAGTAGCTGCGGTTATAGGTGTGCACCACCACACCCAGCTAATTTTTGTATTTTTAGTAGAAATGGGGTTTCACCATGTCGGCCAGGCTGGTCTTGAACTCCAGACCTCAGGTGATCCACCCGCCTCGGCCTCCCAAAGTGCTGGAATTACAGGCATGAGTCACTGCACGCAGCCGGATTACTTCTTAAAAGCTCAGGACCCAGCACTTTGGGAGGCCGAGACGGGCGGATCACGAGGTCAGGAGATCGAGACCATCCTGGCTAACACAGTGAAACCCCGTCTCCACTAAAAACACAAAAAACTAGCCGGGCGAGGTGGCGGGCGCCTGTAGTCCCCGCTACTCGGGAGGCTGAGGCAGGAGAATGGCGTAAACCCGGGAGGCGGAGCTTGCAGTGAGCTGAGATCCGGCCACTGCACTCCAGCCCGGGCGACAGAGCAAGACTCCGTCTCAAAAAAAAAAAAAAAAAAAAAAAAAAAAAAAGCTCAGGAGATGGAGCTACCTGCTTGCTTTTGTTCCTCCCCTGCTGTGGACAAGTGGGTAAACTGAGTCACACAGCCAGCCAAAACGACACTCCCACCAGCAATGGCAGAGATTTAAAGCAGAGATTACAAAGAGAGATGTGGTCTGGGGCTGGGTTGGGGAACGGGGACAGGCGAGGACTGAGCGACCTAAGATCCAGGAAATAACTGCCATGAGAAAATTCAGGCACAGACTTAACCGACCTTCAGATTTTTTAAGACTGGTTAGAAATCTGGATTTTCATAGGAAATACTGCTGTTTTTAAATAGGGCTATTAATTTTCAAACAAAGCACCTGAATGAAAACAAGATGAAACAAAATACTCCGAGAGCTAAACCATGCATGTTAACAAGCTGAAATTATCCCAAGCACTGCCAAGTTCAATGCTAGACCAAGATCCCTGGATGTCAGAGTCACCCTGGACTGGTTTTCAATGTTTCTTTTTTTTTTTTTTTTTTTTTTTTTTGAGACGGAGTCTCGCTCTGTCGCCCAAGGTGGAGTACAATGGTGTGATCTTGGTTCATCCCAACCTCCGCCTCCCAGGTTCAAGAGATTCTCCTGTCTCAGCCTCCTGAGTAGCTGGGATTACAGGCGCCTGCCACCACACCCGGATAATTTTTGTATTTTTAATAGAGACAGGGTTTCACCATGCTGGTCAGGCTGGTCTCGAACTTCTGACCTTGTGATCTGCCCGCCTCAGCCTCCCACAGTGCTGGGATTACAGGCATAAGCCACTGTGCCCGGTCTTTAACGATATTTTCTATTGGAATGGGAAATCTCATCATGTGATGTCACCTACAGGGGGCACTCAAGACCCTATCCCTTGCAGCTGATGGATGGTCAAGGAGACTTAGGCTCAGCTCAATGCTGAACTGTAGAGATGCTATTTTTTTGACAGTGTTCATTTTAAGCGAGAGAGGTGTGAGGAACGTGGGTTGGGGTTCTGGGTGCCTCCAACCCCTGCTGATGTGTTGGGCACCAGTGAGGGAGTGAGGAGGACATGGGGCTGGGATTAGGACCCCTGGGTTCAAGTCCATGCTGCTATGACGACACTCTTTTCCACTGCAAGGTCAATTCCCTGAGAGGAAGGGCTTGGTCTTGTTTGCAACTAGAACAGCGATTGGCACATGCCCATGCTTGGTAAGTATCTGAATGACTTGCTGAATGAACAATCTGGGGACACTGCTTATATTATGGGCCTCAGTCTTCCCATCAATAAAATGGGGATTAACCGTGGATGCCCTACTGAAAGGGTTACTGCAATGAGACATTGGACTTGTGGAAGTCCTTGAGGGCAAATAACCAAAAGGGCTGTGACACCATGAGAAACATCTATGGTTATCTTTGTCCTTGGCTGACAGGAGGGACTACTTCAGATCCCACGCAGACACGGCCAAGGACAGCTGGTGCCAAGCCTTTCTCCCACCCTCAACTTTTCTGTGGTTGCGTGAAACCAGCCTAGAAAATTCCCCAAATGATCGCTCAGGTTTTCGCTTCCATTTGGCACGAGGGGTAAGGGGTTGAGGTGCTACCTTGCATTGTCCCGGCCGTGTGACTTCAAGAAATTCATATCTCGGTATCGGGAGAGAAACGCCACCAACTGGTCATTTGTCCTGTGGAAACAAACCAAGGGGAGAGTCAGGCCAGAGACCGTGGGTACTATCTTCGTCACAGAAACCAAGCTTCACCGATTATGTCAGTCCGCTCGAAGCACCTTCTCTGATCACTTGCACACGGGTTGATAAGGCTTCCTCTTTAAATTGCTGTTTTTATGTCACCGTCACCGACTCTTATCACACTATGTTAAAAGGGGCTGTTTGTGCATTTCTCTCCTCTATACTCCAATATACTGGAGACTCTTTGAGGGCAAGTGGAGTGCTCTACATGTTTGGGAATCTCCAGTGCACGGCATTGGGTTTGGCAACAGCAAGTCATCAGTGTGCAGCCCAAAGCTAAATACACAGCAATCTCAGGACCTTCGCATCTGCTTGCCTGGGAAATTTCTCCCAGTATTGCTGGCCTAGTCTTGTCGTCAGGTCTCCTTTCAAATACCACCTCTTCAGAGAGACCTTTTCCGACCACTTAACCTAAAGTAGTACCTGCCTCCCCCTCTCTCCCCACCTTTATTACATCACTCTGTTTATAATAATTCACTATTGTATAACCACTTGAAAGCATTGACCTTGCTTTCATTAGAATGTAAGCTCCATGAGGACAGAGCCCAGCTGGATTTGTTCAACACTGGAATATAGTAAGAGCTATATTAATGTTTGTTGAATAAATAAATGAATCAAAGTGATGTGTGTTCAAACTGACTCCTTCAAATGCACTTTGAGCAATGAATGCATCAATGAATGGATGGATACCAAGTCCTCGATAACCACGGGCTACTGAATGAGAGAGCTTTAAAAAATATGAAGTGCAATACAAATGAGAGACATCGTTCCCAGCATTGTTATCCCAAATTTATCGCCATCAATCTCGGCACTAGCAGTGTAGTCACAGCTAATCAGCCTGCGCATACAGCTGTGACAGTGTTTTAAAAGGCAGTCACACGGGTCTCCATCTGCCAGAAATGCACTCGCCTCTTCTGCTGAATAAACCCAAACAGGTAAATGGTGCTGATGTGACAGCTCCTTTATCACCAGCCTTCTCTGCTTCGGAATTTTTACTTCGAAAGAAAGCGTTAACTATTGTTTCAAATGGGAGGAACAGAGAAGAGGGCAGAAAGATTAAAAAGAAAAAAACATCTCTGGGGTTATAATAGAAGCTAGACCTTTGAGAAGCAGGACAGTGCCTTAGAAAGCAATGCTTGGGCAGAAAGAGAAAGATCTGGGGACAGATCCCAGCTCCATGACTGAGTCAGCAGCTGTGTGTCCAAGGATGTCATTTAACCTCACTGAATGGTAGCTTGCTCTGAAGACACGTAGGTTGAGAATTAAACATGCCCAGCACCTAGTAGGTCCATCATGCATATATACTGAATGGACAACTGGGTGGATTTTAAGGGCACACAGTAGGTGTACAATCAATGCACGCACTTGCTCTATCTGCCTCCCAACTGTTTGGTCTGAGCTGCCCCTACTGCTCACCCCCTCCTTCATTTCCCTGCACCTCCACAGTCTCGCCACTCCAAGCCCCTGTTCTCTCATTGGATGACTCATGTTGACCAACTCATAATTCCAGTGGAGGGGGCACAAAGCAGTTAAGAGATGCTGCAGTGAAAATGAACGCTGCTCATGTCCCATCCTATTACTGAAATAAACACCAATTCAAAACCAGCCATTCTAGCAGCAGCAGGAGCCGTGCATCTGCAGGGAGTTGAATACAGCGCACACACGGAAAGCTAAACCTTGCTGACGGGCACAGAGGTGAACCCAGGGATGTTCGCAAAGGGCTAACCCCACGTGGCCGTACAATGGTGCATCTCCCGCGTGGTTAAACCCCATCGTGCATGCCAAGGTAAAGTCCACTGGTGCCTCCGACTCTGTTACCTGTAGCTCGTGGGGACAGGGCCCCTTTAGTAAGTCGCTGGCAGAGGTGGAAACTAAATCGGCCTATAGAAAAAAATTTAAGCAATGTTTCTCTCCAAACCATAAAGAGGCCCATTCTAACTCTGCGTTTTAACAGCTCTTATTTACCAACCCCCTCACCACTCTCTGCGACAGTTCATTATTGTTGTCCTGATGAATACGGGACAAGTTAACCTCTGAATGAGTCCCCGGCAGTTGGAATAATAAATAAAGCCTCTCAGGCACCCTTAGTGGGAGGATTGAAGGGGCCGGGCCGGGGCTCCCGGGCCCCCTTCTCGTGAAGCCTCAGGCCTCCCAGGGTCAGCGGCTGCCGTTCCATTTGGCAACCCCAGAAAGCGCCTTTCAGGGCTGTGAGCTGGGGCCATTTTCACATTTACCGCTTCACCGAGTCCCCATCTGACGGGGATGAATAGGCATTTAGCGAATTTACTTAGCGATGCTTCCACATGAAATCGTCTCAAAAGATGACATCTTAGGGGAGGGAGGGTGGATGAGGAGGGGGCTGAGGTTTCCAGGCCGAGAGCTTTTGGGTAAAGCCGCCTTTCAAAGCCAAACGTTGTGTGCTTGGCAAAGGATCCTGATGGATTGTCTGGAAGGGTGGGGCGGGGGGATCCCTGCCTATCCCCCTTCCTAGGGGCCCGGGCCCCTTGCTCTCCCTCTGTGTGAAATGCCTGCTCTGAATGCTAAAGCCCATCCCCCCAGTCCTTCTCGAAAGGGAGATGGAAGTTGGCTGAGGACCAAATTCTCCTATTGTTGCTTTCAGACGCCTGTCGATAATTGCCTACATAATATTTAGTTCTCTCCAGATAATTAACAGCTTGCGATCTGTTGACATTTTACCCCGTTCCAGTTTCTCGCACTCTCTCTCTCTCTCTCTCTTCCACTCACATACATTTCTCACTTCCCTTTCCTAGTGGAGTCATTTGCCAAATGGTTCCCATAGTTCATCCCTTGTATCTGTCTCGTCATCAATTTCCTCCTACTTTTTGCTGAAACGATTAGAAATCACGTCTCTTGGTCTATGCCAGTTCCTCTGCTTCCTGAGGATAACTAGGGCCCATTGCTACCACCATTGGAGTCACTGGGAAGTCTCTGCTGAAATAAGTAAGAAATAAATATTAAAACAAACTTACTGGGAGCCATGAGAATCTTGTTGGAAATGGATAAAAAAATGAGTAATAAAATAATCTCCCAAGTCACAGCCATTTACTAAATGTGCACCATGCCCTAAGGCCATGGGAAAAGACTTTTGCCACATTTTATTGCATTTGATATTCACGACGATGCTAAAAAATGTAAATTTCGGCTGGGTGTGGTAGCTCATGCCTGTAATTCCAGCAGTTGGGGAGGCCAAGGTGCGTGGGTCACTTGAGGTCAGGAGGTCGAGACCAGCCTGGCCAACATGGTGAAACCCCGTCTTTACTAAAAACACAAACAAACTAGCCAGATGTGGGCTGGTACACCTGTAGCCCCAGCTACTCGGGAGGCTGAGGCTGAAGAATTGCTTGAACTTGGGAAGTGGACATTGCAGTGAACCCAGATCGCTCCACTCCACTGCAGCCTGGGTGAAAGAGTGACACTCTGTCTCACAACAACAACAACAACAACAACAAAAAAGGAATTTCACTCTCATTTTACAGACGGGCAACCAAGACTCAGAGAAATCATCCATTTAATAAAGTGCAGAACCAGAACTGGAACCCGGGGACAAATGTCACAGCTTGTGTTCTCTACTACGAGACTGCCTCTACAAATGATAGTGAATGAATGAGTGAGTGAATGAATGAATGAATGAATGTAATCCACTTCAAGTGCAGAAGAAAAAAAAATACAGGTGCGATAATGTCTTCCTCTTCATAGCCTGGTCTGCAGCCCACTGCTATTAGAAATGCCATACACTTCAGGCCTCACCCAATACCTATTGAGCAAAAATGTGTTTTTAAACAAGATTCCAGATGATGCACATGCCCTTTAAAGTTTCAGAAGCATTGCTCTAAGTCAAGTATGACTATCGGTAGTTAATTCTCTACTTTCCATCTTTATCTGCTCCTCACGGTTTCTTCTGGAGAGCCTGGACTATGAACGAATTACTTTCATTTCAATAAGCCTTAGGTGTTGAGAGTATTAAATAAAAACAATACACCTAATACCTGTGCCATAGTACTCGGCATACAGTAAGCCCATGATAAATGTCAGCTATTATATAATAGCATTATTATTACCATCTTGAACATCAGAAGCTTAAGACACCTTGAACTGTGGAAAACAGTGTAAAGACCCAACCTGATTTGAACTTGGAAGGCTTTCTGCGCATAAGACCCATGGAATGTTCTGCAGAGCATAGTTTAAGAGATGTCCAAGGCCTCTTCCCAGCTGGTGTCAGACTTAGGGACCGGCTCCCAGAGGGCCATGGTACCACTGTGTATGTCTTATCTATGTAACAGCTCTGGACATTAAGATATGAAGGAAGAGAGGGCAGAGTTCTCAGGTTCCCATAGCACCCAGGAGCCCATGCTGTATGGAAAAGGTGCTCTGGGCACACAGAGGCAAGCAAGCAATGCCTGTTTGCTGGTGGCATGTGACAAGAGATGAAGCCTGCTCAGCTTACACTAGGAAGGAGCCCAACACAAAACCAACTGTACCTCTCCGGGCTCCTGGTGCTCACCTGGCACTCATGCCCCAGAACCCCTTCCCCACTGCAGGATACTGTAAAGGACCCTGCCAGAGGTGCTCACAGTCCAATGGTGGAGGCAACAGGACTAAAGCCAAAGTTACATGCAGGATTTTGTGAATGTCAGGATTCAGGATTTCAAACCTCTGATGCTGCCAAGTGTGCACAGAGTCCAGGGGACACTAGAATTATTCCTCCTGGACTGCAATGAACCAGCCACTGTGGGGCAGAAATGCACATGAAAGACTATGGGGAGGCCGGGCACGGCTGTAATCCCAGCACTTTGGGAGGCCGAGGCGGGTGGATCATTTGCAGTCAGGAGTTCGAGACCAGCCTGCCCAACATGGTGAAACCCCGTCTCTAGTAAAAAATACAAAAATTAGCTGGGTGCGGTGGCACGCACCTCTAA